AATAGTGCTTACTATATTCTAGGAATTATGCTAGTTATTATCATTTTTATCTCATTTGATCCTCACAACAACCTTGGGAGGTAGGTGATATTACTATCCACATTTTATAGATGAGAAAGCTAATGCAAACAGAAGTTAAGTGACTTGCCCAGGGTCACACAGTAAGTGTCTAAGGATGGATTTGAACTCAGGTCTTCTTGACTCTAAGCCCAGCATTCTATCCACTGCACCAAGTACATGCTCATTTAGCCTAAATTTAGCTAAACACAAGTTTTCCTGAATCAGTGTTGATCATGCTATTGGTATGTGGTCAGAAACCTGAAGGAAGAGTACACATCTTTTGTATGCTGAGTGTTTTTATACCCTGATGACCAGGAAGCTATACTGATAGCTCTATAACCAACCTTTGTACCTTGAGGTAATTAATTCTCAAGGACAATTTGAATGCTTTTTAAGGAAAAACTAGCCTACTCTGCATGGGCACTTAGGATATTCCTCTTACCACACCCTACCATTTGGAGATGGTCTATCGCTTGAACCTTCCTGAAACTTAGGGTATGGAATTTCCCTAAGCTATGTTCAACCAGACAGCATATGTAATCCCCTCTGTCTCCTGGCCTATAACATTGGAGGTGGGAAACTAATTTGACATTTATGAGAAAGACCTTTACCCTCCCTATAAAAATATAAAAGTCTTGTCCCTCGTCTGCATGGGCAAGCTGCCATATTCTGTAAAGAACGGGGTTCAGCCATTCCCATACCAAACTAGGAAGATTGACAAGGCTTTGCAGAACCTTGTGTGCCAATTCCAGAGGGCAGCCTCTTGCAGCAACATCGGCTCCTTTACTCTTCTTGTGGCACCTGAAGTTCATTGCACCTGAGACACAGTGATGCCAGAGAGTAGAAATACTGGATTTGGAATCAGAGGACCTGAGTCCAAATCCTGACTCATTTACATATTCTCTGCACAAACCTGAGCAAGCCACATAACATCTGGGCCAGTTTCTTTATCTGTAAGAATGAGGGGTTTAGATTGGAGAAGCTCTAAATCCTATGACGAGAAATTAGTAAGTTCCAGATTTCCTTAGGACAATAGTAAGCACCCCAGAGATGATTTCTTTTAAGAACAATTTCACTCCTGAATTAGACTGAAGCAAGTCTGGAAGCCTGTCTTTCCTGCTATTACCACACTCCAGACTTGTGAATAATGTTCTCAGGGTATCTTAATCCCTTTCTCTCCTGATTCTCTTCCCTTAGCCTGTTTATGGTACATTTCCAAAATTGCCCACAAAGGTAGCTCCCCAGGGTATCTTTGTTTGTTCATTCAATTGATTCCCCAGTGCCTGTTCTGAAGAAAGCAGATAAAGCTCAGCCTTTCTGGTTAGTGTGAGTCCTGGCAGAGTTCATGGGCTGCCTTCAGAGGTCACCAGCATCATTCTTCTGGAATACAAAGAGTACAGGCATAATCTAACTTTTACAATCCTTTCTCTTTCTTTCTAACTGAACCTATTTGTCTCTTTCAATAGGACCTGTTTTTCTGGGGTCTTAGAGTCATTTCTATATTGCATAAATGTGGAGAGGAGAAATGGGATGAATACCCACAAGGTTGGCATGGGACTAGGCAAGGTTGTGCTCATTACTTTATTGCTAAACCTTTTTTAGCAATAGAAGTATACATTTCCAGGATTGCATAATCTGACCTTTATAATCCTTTCTCTTTCTTTCTAACTGAACCTATTTGTCTCTTTCAATAGGGCTTGTTTTTCTGGGGTCTTAGAGTCATTTCTATATTGCATAAATGTGGAGAACAGAAATGGGATGAATACCCACAAGGTTGGCATGGAACTAGGCAAGTTGTGCTCATTACTTTATTGCTAAACCTTTTTTAGCAGTAGAAGTATACATTTCCAGAAGTATACGTTTCCAGGATACATTCCCCTTCCAGGGGAAGGACAGGTCTTGGTGAGGAGTTCACATAAATACATTTCTTGGGTTGCTACTTTGTCTCCAATTTATGAATTCAACTTTAATTCACCTCTCATGATATTTAGGCTTAATAACCTGAATTAATATAATTGGGTTTTTAGGAGTCAATGTCCCTATTTTAGCAAGTTGCCTCTCAGGCAACCCATATTCTCTACCTACTTTTCTTTCTTTCTGCAACTGTGAATCAGGAAAATAATTTGTATGTAAAGTCCTTAAAGGAAAGATTCTGCTGGGAACTGAAGGCCCGAAGTTGATGACCAAGTGGGCAGAGAAACTCTGGAGTACTCAACCAAACAAGAAACAATTATTTCCTGAGAGCCCAAGTTTATCTGACCAATGACTATAATAGTCATGGAGAGGAATCAACAATAAAACTCCAGTTTGGACAGGGGAGGGAGTGGGGCACAAACAGAGAGAGAGGGGTCAATAACGATGTACCCTTTGTTTTGGAGACACTACAGAATTAGGACAGAATAAAGGTGCCGAAGGGATACTGACTTCTGGGTCACATTTCCTGAAGCCCCAACACTCTGCTAGAAAGGTTATTAATCTGATGATACATGTACCACTTGCTCCAGATTTTGAGTTGGTACTTTTTGTTGCAGAGAGTGACCCTTATCATACAGCGATCAGGGAAAACAGAAAGAAGGAAGGAAGGCACCACACAATGGGAAAGATTCAGATGCTGTTGACATTCCTTGCAAAATCGCACTGGGGACACTTTAAAACAGAGAATGAAAAACACTCCCTAGAAATACTCCTCTGGGGTCCCTTACAAGGCCCTTGACAAGAGCTCAGTTACATCAAAGGGCCTAATTAGAATCAGGTAAAGGGGGCACAGCAACACGTTTCCATTTGACAAAAGGAAAGACAATAATGATTAGAGCAGTCCAAAAGTGGACAGGACTGCCCGTGGGCTCCCACTGCAGGGGATGGGGTAGATAGGGAGTAGACCAGAAAACTAAAATGTTTTGTTCCTGCCCAAGTAGACACTAAGATTTGGGTCTTCTTTCCACACTAAGATGCAGGAGGAGGAAGCCTGGACTGGAGCAGAGTGAGGGAGAGACTTAGAGACAAGAAAGTTAAAAAGATGTTAAAAAGAATGTTTTCAAGCTTTTCAAGCTTTCTAGAGTTAGATAGGATATTAGAGCTTCCCCAAACTAAACCCCTCATTCTTGTAGATAAAGAAACTGGCCCAGATGTTATGTGGTTTGTTCGAGTTTGTGCAGAGAATATGTAGATGAGTCAGGATTTGAACTCAGGCCTTCTGATTCCAAACAATCACTTGTCAGCATTGTTCTAGATGGGATTCTTGGTCAAATATGAGTTGGACTAAATATCACCAAAAGTCTGTCTCAACTGTGACGTTCTGTGATTCCAATTATTTTTTAAAATCTGCTGCTGGATAACCTAGGAGTAGCTAGAGATGATTATTTAATCAGATTGTTGTTATTAATATTGGATTATTAATTATTAATTGGAGGTGACTTGTATTTGCATAAAGTCTCAAAGTACTGGCTCATATGCCCTGAAATCCCTACAGAAATACAGTCATGTGCAGATCTCACTAGGAATTCTCACTGAAAGAATGAGGGAGTTGGCAGGTATCGCTGTATATTACTTCACTGTCTTCCTCAACACCTATCTGTGAGGAGTTCCCTTTGGTCCCAAGAGGAGGAAAAGGAGAGAATGACAGGTTCCTATAAGTATGATGTGGGGAAACACCAGAGAATACAGAAAGGAAAGCAAGAAAAAGAGACACAGGTAGAGAAATGCCTGCAGGTATGGAGGGATTAAGGAAGATAAGTAGAGCTTGGAGTCATGAATCACAGAATTTGAGAGTTGTAAGGGACTTTAGTGGCCACATCTAGGCAAACTCACACACAAAAGGAATCCCCTTATCCCATACCCAACAAGTAGTCATCTGGCCTCTACCTAAAAATCTCCAAGGAGGGAGAATCCATCAGCTCTCAGGGAAGCCCATCCAACTTTTGAACATTTCTGATTGGTAGGAAGCTTTTTCTGGTGTTACATCTAAATTTGCCTTTTTGTAAATTGCCTTCTGGAGCCAAACAGACACTCTGAATCCCTCCTTCACATGACAGCCCTTCAAGTACTTGAAGAGAGCTATCATATTCCCCTGTGTTTTGTCTTCTCCAAGCTAAACATAACTGGTTCTTTCAACCAATCCATATATATCTTGGGTCCAAAGCCCTTCGCCATTCTGATTGTCCTCTTCTAGATATTTTCCTTCTTCTCAATATCCTTCTTAAACTGTAGATCCCAAAACATGACAAATGAATGGAAATATGAAATGGGTGATATGTTAAAAATGGAGATGTGAAATAGACCAAAAGAAGCATGAAATCTCTGATTTGGAAGGGACTTCAAACTTGAGCCATCTAGACTAACCCCTATCTAAACAGTAATTCCCTTCACAACATTTCCACTAAATGGTTAGTCAACCTTCACATGAAGAGTTCTAGGGAGGGGAAACTCATTATCCTTTCTACTCTGACAGAGCCATCATTATTAACCACTTTTTTTTTTACATTGAGCTGAAATCCACCTCTTGAAAATACATGCCCGCTGTTGGGCAATTCTCCTCTCTAGATCCAAACAAGTCCAAAGTTCCCCATGACATAACATCAAATACTTGAAGACAGTTCCTGAATCATGCCACCCAAACTGCAAAGCATCCCCAGGTAGCCAAAAGCACCTACCAGTGTGGAATCCTACTACTCCCACCATCCAGGTCATCCTCCTCTGGAAGCTCTCCAGCTGATCAATATCCATCTCAAATGAGCTATAGGGAGATGTTGGCATAGGGAGGTCCTGAAAAGGACTTTCAAGATAAACTGTCTTCCATCCAAAAGCAGAGCTTGTGCGGAGCATGATCAGAAGTGTACATGCTCGTGTGTTGATTCCATTGACTTTCCAAACCTGCAGCTTGCTTCTTCTGTCCCCAGGACTAATTTCTCTTTTATTCAACTTCAGATCCAGCCAAAGTCACAATGAAAAACCTCACTACATTGACTGAGTTCATCCTGTTGGGTCTGACAGATGCCCCTGAGTTCCAGGTTGTGATTTTCTTCTTTCTCCTTCTCACCTACATGTTTAGTATCATTGGCAACCTGACCATCATCGTCCTCACACTATTGGACTCCCACCTGCAAACCCCCATGTATTTCTTCCTTCGGAATTTTTCCATCTTAGAAATTTTCTTCACATCTGTTTTTACTCCCAGACTGCTGTACAGTATCTCAACGGGGAATAAAACCATCAGTTTTGTTGGTTGCTTCCTTCAGTACTTTTTTGCCATATTTCTGGGAGCCACTGAGTTTTTCCTCCTTGCTGCCATGTCCTATGATCGGTATGTCGCCATCTGCAAGCCCCTGCATTACACAACCATCATGAGCACCAGAGTCTGCATCCTGCTAATTCTCTGTACTTGGCTGGCTGGGTTATTGATTTCTGGCCAATTAATTCTACTGGCAAGTCGTCTGAATTTCTGCTCATCCAATACCATGGATCATTATTACTGTGATACTGCTCCTCTTTTCAAGCTCTCCTGTTCAGACACAGGTCTGGCAGAGCTAGTCGATACTCTCTTAGCCTTAGGGACACTTCTGGTCACTCTCGTGCTGGTGCTTCTTTCTTATACAAACATCATCCGTACAATTCTTAGATTTCCTTCTGCTCAACAAAGGAAAAAGGCCTTTTCTACTTGTTCCTCCCACATGATTGTCATCTCTCTCTCTTATGGCAGCTGCATGTTTATGTACACCAATCTCTCAACAACAGACGTCAGCTTCCATAAGGGAGCGGGGATCCTCCAAACTTCAATTGCTCCCCTGCTAAATCGCTTCATTTACAGCTTAAGGAACAAACAAGTGATTCAAGCCTTCAAGGACTTGATCCAAAAGATCACAAGTCACTAATGAATTAATAGAATTCAAGCCTAGATGGAAAATAGAACAAAAAAGCGGATTAATTCAGTTTAAATCAATTCAATAAACCTTTTCTTTTTTTTGTACTATGTACAAGTCTCTATGCCAGACACTGAGGACAAAGACAAAAAGGAAATACATTCTTGCCCCCTGGGATACTTATATTCTACTGCAGGAATAGAATACATATACAGAGAAGTAAATACAAAATCATTTCAAAGGGGAGTGAGAACACCTGTGGGAGGAGGGAGGCCTCAGTAAAAGCCTTATTTAGGCAAGGGCAATTGAGTTAAACTTTGAAGGAAGCTAGAGGTTCTAAGAGGCAAGAGTCCAGACACGGTAGACCAACAACACTCAGGCACGGAGTCTGGACATGGAATGTCTTGCATAGGGAACAGCTAGCAGGACATTCTGATGGAAACGGATTGTGCATGAAGAAGAGAAATAGAAAATATGAACACAAATGTAAGTGGGAGTAAAGAACTTTAAAAATTAAAGTGAAGATTTTTGCATTTTATATTCTAGAGGCAATAGGGAGCTATTGGTGAATTTTGAATAGAGGAGTAACAGGGTCAGACTTGTATTTTAGGAATGTCATATTAACAGCTGGTGGAGAATAGATTTAAAGAGCAGAGCCTCAAAACTTAGGGAGAATTAAATAACTGAAGTTCAAAAAGGCTTGTTCTGCCTCAAACAGTGTGGAGATTGACAAGGCAAGGTTTGACCAGAGAAGAGGGTGACCCACCCCACTCAGTCGTCAGGTTGAATAGGCGAGATGACTAGGAATCCGGCCATAGAAGGATCAATCGAAATGAATGTCTTTGCTTAGCCTAGGGGAAAGGCATCTCAGAAGGAAACATGAATATGGCCTTCCAATACATTCAGGACTGACATAGGGAAGATAGTGTATATCTTTTGCATCACTTCTCTTGAGTATCTTTTCCTTGATTATATATCAAACCTACTTAATGCCCACAATGTGTCATTCCATTGCTCTTTGGGTGACCTGGCACTTATCCACTGTAGACTGTGATAAGTTTTGAAGCAAAAGAGAATCACTGGAAAAATACTGGTCTTAAAAAGATGGACCTGTGTTCTGGGGAAGTATTTGAAATCACTGAAAATACTACATAATTTGTAACTCACTTGTAATCCAACCCATCTCCCTTTCATCCAATTCTTGTTCCAGTTAGCTATCCATTTGCAATGTTTGTCCAAAATATACGTACTCACGCACCTTCTCTTTGGGCTATCTAAGCAACTGTAAGTAAAGGCTGGACGTTAAGTACTCTGAATCTTCTTAGATGAAACTGAATAAACAAATTCATTAAAATCAGATAGACTAGTCATGTGAAAAGAGTGAGAGATGGCTTATGTGTACTCCATGAATAGCCACTGAATATCAAGGGATCCAGAAGAAAGCCCTCAGCTTATGGGGCGCAGGTCTTCCTGAGTCAAAATTATATGACACAGGCATGAATCACACTGGATAAGAAGGAGTGGATGTGTTACAATTAGCGCTATTGAAATAGTATTCCCATCCATGAGATCACACATCCCTCAAAGTCATCCTAAATGGAAATATAGTGAGAACTTGGACCTCACTCTTCTATCTCCACTTTAAAGTCCTAGGGTTACCCCTGAGGAACTGTGGTATCTTTTTCCAATGACATAAGCACAAGCCCCAATTCTAGTGTATTTCCACACTGTTAGCTGCCAGTCACTAGCACCCAGTTCCATTTAACCAATAAGCAATATAACTATAATACAACAATAAGCAAAAAGCAATTAACTTTTGCAAAGAGATTATTACTTTTAAAGATATATCTTTAAAAGAACAGAAAAGAAGTACAAATATTTCCTGACAACACCTTGGAAGGGCATACTCTCCCCCATCATCTACATAGTGTTTCTCCCAATTAGCCCTCTCCTTTCTACTCATACTGCCAGCACACTAGGTCAAGCTCTCATTATCTTTTTTCCCTATTTCTCTGACAACTTCCTCAATGAACTTCCTACTTGTAGTCTCCACTCTCTAATATATCCTTTATATGGTCACTAGAATAATTTTCTTTTTTTTTTTTTTTTTTTTAGACAATTGGGGTTAAGTGACTTGCCCGGGTCACACAGTTAGTATGTGTCATGTGTTTGGTCTGAGGCAGGATTTGAACTCAGGTCCTCCTGACTTCAGGGCTGGTGCTCTATCCACTGCGCCACCTAGCTGCCCCTAGAATAATTTTCTTCAAGCATACTTTTGACCACATTACTCTTGGCTCAAAAACAATTACCTTCCCTTTGCCTAGCAAATAAAATGCAAACTGGATGTCCTATCTTTTAAGACCCTTCATAATCCGGCTGCAACCTCCATGTCCAGCCTTATTTCTCTTTACTCTTTCACCTACTCTAGTTTCTGCAAGTCAAATTGAACAATGAATTATCAGTTCTCCAGTCCAATATTGACCTCTCCTACATCACTGTATTGACTTAGTCATTAACCATTCCTGGAAGACATACCCCTGGCCTTGAAAAATCTGCACAATCCTATCTGGTAAAAATCCTTCTCTTACTTCAAGGCCCAGATCAGGTGTTCCTTCACCTATGATGCCTTCTCTGATTGACTCAGATGAAAGGTCTTTCAACTTATTTAATTTTTTCCTAGCACTTTATCTGAACCTTTTCTTTGCACTTTTAACATACTAGAATTTAGCATTTTAGAATTAGAGTAGGTTGTGCATATGTCTGAAACCCTCTATTGGACTATAATCTTCCCAAAAGAATAGACAGTATAGTTTTCTATCGTTGAATCCATAGGTCCTAGCCCAATGGCTTACTCAGTGAGTAAAGTCCACAATTTGGTACTAGCTAAGAAATAGAGGGGTAGATCAGCGGGAATAAATTAGGTACACAATGCACAGTAATAAATGACCACAGTAATATAGTGTTTGATAAACCAGAAGACCCAAAACTTATGGATGAGAACTCAAACACTACTTGGAAAACTGGAAAACAGTATGGCAGAACTAGATATAGACCAACATCTTACATAGTATGCCAATATGAGATAAAAATTGGTATGTGATTTAAACTTAAAAGGTGATAGTATAAATAAATTAGGAGAGCATGAAATAGTTTACCTGTCAGATCTATGAACAAGGAAAGAATTTATGACCAAACAAGAGATAGATATCATTACTAAATATAAAATGATAAATTTTTTATTATATTAAATTTAAAAGTTTTTGCACAAACAATACCAATGCAACCAAAATTAGAAAGAAAGCAGAAAGATGGGAAATAATTTTTATAGCAAGTTTTTCTGATAAAGGCCTCATTTCTCAAGTATATAGAAAACTGATTCAAATTTATAAGAATACAAGTCACTCCCAAATAATAAATGGTCAAAGAATATGAATAGGCAGTTTTCAGATGAAAAAAATCAAGGCTATCTAAAGCCATATGAAAAAATGCTCAAAATGACTATTGACCCAAGAAATTCATATTAAAAACAACTTTGAGGTATCACCTCATACCTATCATATAAGCTAATATGACTGAAAAGGAAAATAATAAATATTGGAGGTGATGTGGAAAAATCAGAACACAAATGCACTGTTGGTGGAGTTGTGAATTGATCCAACCGTTCTGGAGAGCAATTTGGAACTATGTCCAAAGGGTTATCATATCCTTTGATCTAGGAATACCATTACTAGGTCAGTATTCCAGAGAGTTTTTTTTAAAAGGGAAAGGATCTATTTGTACAAAAACATTTAAAGCAGCTCTTTTTTTAGTGGCAAAGAATTGGAAATGGAACAGATGCCCATCAATTGGGGAATGGCTGAACAAACTGTGGTATATGATCGTGGTGGAATTATTACTGTGCTGTAAGGAATGATAAGTATGCTGATTTTGTAAAAACCTGGAAAGACTTATATGGACTGATGCAAAGTGAAGTGAGCAGAACCAGGAGAATATTGTACACAGTAACAGCAACACTGTACAATGATCAACTGTGAATAACTTCGCTATTCTCAGCAATACAATGCTCCAAGACAGTTCCAAAGGACTAATAATAAAAAATGTTGTCCACCTCCAGAGAAAGAACTAATGGACTCTGAATGCAGATTGAAGCATATTTTTTAACTTTCTGCATTTTTCATGCTTTTTTTTCCCTTTGGGTCTGTGTTTCTTTCACAATATGACTAATATGGTAATATGTTTTACATGGCTGATCACGTATAACCTGTATGTAATCGCTTACTGTCTCAGGGAAAGAAGAGGTAAGGGAGGGAGAGAAAAAAATTGGAACTCAACTCAAATTTTTTTTAAATCAATGTTAAAAATTGTCTTCATTTGTAACTGAGGAAAAATAAAATATTATTCAAAATATGTGATATTGTATTTTAAAGCTACCTGGACTCCACAAATTTATGAATGATTTCTAGGTAGACAAGCTAAGCATTGGCCATTAAGAATATACCTTAAAAACAGGGCCCTGGGGGGCAGCTAGGTGGAGCAGTGGATAGAGCACTGGCCCTGGGGTCAGGAGGACCTGAGTTCAAATCTAGCCTCAGACACTTGACACTTACTAACTGTGTGACTCTGGGCAAATCACTTAACCCCATCGCCTAGCCCAAAAAAAAAAAAAAAAACCAGTAACCTGAACCTGGGATTTAGAATGTAAATGTAGAGAATGATTATACGTAACAGAAATCAAGTTTGTGATATGTTCTCTAGAAATCTGAACCTATTTCTACAGCCTATTCAAATAACTGTGTTTCTATCTCTGTCTTTCTCTATATGGTTTAGAAATGAGGCCTTTATCAGAAACACTGGCTGTAAAAATTGTTTCCTAGCTTTCTGCTTTCTTTCCATGGTTGGCTTTGTTTCTGCAAAAACTTTTAAGTTTAATGTAATCAAAATTATCCATTTCGCGTTTCATGAACTTCTGTCTCCTGTTTGATCATAAATTCTTCCCTTCTCCATAGATCTGA